TGCGTCTGATACATGCCATGGTCTTTGCTATCACTTGTTATGCATCAGAGACTAAGGAGGATAGAAGGAGAATTGATGCCTTTAAGCTGTGGTGCTGAAGAAGAGTATTGAAGGTACCATGAACTGCTAGGAAAACAAACAGATTCATCCTGGAAAGGGTTAAACCGGGTGACTCCTTGGAGGCAAGGATTCTGTGGCTCCGTCTAACATACTTTGGACATGTTGCCAGGAGGAACAGGTCCTTGGAGAGGGACATCATGCTTGGTAGCGTGGAGGGACAGCGCAGAAGGGGAAGGCCCTCTATGAGGTGGATTGATTCAGTGACTGGGATAATCGGGATGGGAGTGTCAGAGACAGTACAATTGGCACAGGACAGAGCAGAGTTTAGGGCTGTTGTACATACGGTCAATATGAGTCGCAAGCTACTCGACAACACATAACAAAAACAACAACAACAAAGCTTTTTATAATATTCTGATATTATTGATTTTATTTTGGCTGGTTTTGTTGTGATTTCACCTGTTCCATTTCTTATTCCAGTTACTTATGTCTCATCTTTTGTTAAATTTGCCTATTTTATTAACCCTGATATTTTCTTTGTGGAGGCAGTGATTTTCTTGTCTGAATTCTTTTTTTTTTTTTACAATCTTTCATTTACATTATGTTTCATACAATCGTTCATTTACATTCTATTTTATATTATTTATTTTTGTTTATTAAGCCTTTTGAAGAACCAGCTTCTAATTTTGTTGATGGTTTCAATAATTTTTCTGTTTTCCCTCCCATTGATTTCAGCATTTATCCTTACTGGTTGTCTTTCTTCTGAAGCCTGTGGAATTAGCCTGTCCTTCTTCCATTTGTTGGAGGTGTTAGGTAGTTTATTTTGCTTCTTTCTTCTTTTTTTATGTGTTAAGTTAGTGCTATAAAATGACTCCTTAAGACAGCCCGAGGTGTATCCCAGAGATTTTGACATGATGTTTTTCTCTTTTATTCATTTTGTTGAACTTTTTAATAAATTTTTAAAGTTCTTATTTCTTCTATAACCCAGTGATGCTCAAGCCGGATGTTATTTAGCTTCCACACTGGTGTTCTGTTTTCCTTTATCCTCTTATCAATGTCTGTCTTTATGGCATTGTGGTCTGAGAAGATACTCTGTATTATTTCAGTGTTTTTTAATTTGTTGAGGCTTGGTTTATGTTGTACAATGTGGTCAGTTCTGGAGAATGTACCCTATGCACTTGAGAAGAAATAAACGGAATTTTTGTTGGGTGGAGTACTTTGAATGTGTCTATGAGGTTGAGTTGGCCGATTGTATAGTGTAGTTCTTTCATATCTTTGTTGAGTTTCTTTTGAGTTGACCTGTCTTTTGCTGAGAGTGGTGTGTTAAAGTCTTCTATTACTGTTGTGATGTTGTCTATTTCTTTCTTCAAGTCTATGAACCATTGTTTTATGTACTTGCTAGTCTGTCATTGGGTGTGTAGATGTTAACTAAGGATATTGATATATTGTGCCTTTAATAATAATATAGTGTTCTACCTAATTTCTTATGGCAGTTTCGTCCTGAAGTCTATTTTATTGGAAGAGTATTGCCACTCCAGCTTTCTTATGGATTGTTTATTTCTTTTGCTTGGAACATTTATTTCCACCCTTTGAGTTTTAGTGCATCTTTCTCCTTGTTTCTTAAATGTTTCTTTTGTAGGTAACACATTTGTTGATAGGTTTTTGGTTTGTTTTTTTTTTTTTGTTTGTTTTAAAAAATCCATCCTGCTGCTCTTTCTCTCTTCATCAGTGCATTTAAGCCAATTCACATTTAGTGCGATTAGAGATAGGCTCATTTTTATCATTGTCATTTTGCTGTGTTCTTATTCCTGTTGTTGCTGGTTACTTTGGTCCATCTGCTTTTCTCTGCTGTCTCTGTGTGAAGGACTTCCCTTTATTATTTCTTGTTGAGTTGGTCTTGTTTTAATGAATTCCTTGAGTTCTCTTCCTTCTTGTCTGCTAATTTCTAATTACTGTCTATTTTCTCCTTCATATCTAATGGACAGCTTTGTTCGTAGTTGTTTTCTTATAGCCTTCTGTATATACCATCCCATTGTCTTCTTTCTTGCATAGTTTCTGCTGAGAAGTCTGAGCTTAATCTAATTGGTTCTCCTTTGTAAGTGACTCTTAGTTTTTATATTTTTTTTTTATTCTTACTTTTTCTCATGCTGCTTTTAGTATTCTACCTTACCTTTGATTTTGGAGAGTTTGATGTCTGTCTTTTCGGTTTTAGGCAAGGATGGTGAAGCTTTGTCTCACATATTTTGGGTGTATTGTTAGGAAGGAGTTGGTCCTTCGAAAAGTACATCTTGTACAGAAGGGGGAAGAAGGGTTAGCAAAAGAGAGGAAGACATGCTGACTGTAATAATGAGATCAAGTATGTTAGAGATGATGAGGATAGCACAAGATAGGGAAGGGTTCAGATGCATTGTGAATGGGGTCGCTGTGAATAATAGTCAACTCAGTGGCACCTAACAATAATAAAAACACATCCTTCAGTATATTATTTATGTAGTCCTTTTATAATGGTCTTTTAATTTTGTATATGCCTTTATTTTATTCTCCTTAAAAAGTGTTTTTTTAGTTATATTAATTCTTATGTGTTTTCTGCTCTTAAACCCTACATTTAAAAACAATATCTTTTGGTATTAAATAGTGCGGGTCCTGTCTGCCAGAAGTAATTGTTTTGAGTATTCCTTAACTTTTCCTGAGTGTTTCATTTTACTGTCAACAAAGAATTTTATGTCATAAGTTTAATCTAAGTCATCATCTTAAGCCCCCTTCCTCACATTTTATTGTTGGTAGCAAGAACAAAAAATCATTATTTTCCTTGTAGTATCTTTCATGTACTCAATTAAACATAGTCTATTCTCCCTGTCCTTTTTTGCCACAGTATTTTGGGGAAGCCTTGATCATGAAGTTCTTTTTCTGTGTTATGATCATTTGATCATTATGGCATAATTTTCTCCTAGTGACTTCTAATCTATACACTGAAAAATAGTTTTAAACTGTGGCTAGTTTTCTGTGGACTGATCCAATTGGTGAGATAGTGCAACTGTTGTATTGCTTTTGCTGGAGTCAGCACCACAGTGTGTAATTATATTTACTAGGCACTCTATTACCTTTTCTTAGTTATCTAGTGCTGCTGTGATAGAAATACGGCTTTAACAGACAGAAATTTACTTCCTTAGTTTAGGAGTCTGGAAGTCTGATTTCAGGGTGTTGTCTGTAGGAGAAGGCTTTCTTTCTCTGTTGGCTGTGGAACAATATCCATGTCTCCTTTCAGCATCTCTTGGCCTGGAAATCCCTGGAGATCTCTTTGGCGTCACTTTTTCCCAGGGACTACGAGGCTCTTGGCAAAGGGACCTTGACTCTGAAGAGCATGCTTTGCTCCCAGCAATTTTTCCTTAGTGATAATGAGGGCCCTACCTCTCTGCATTCTTCTTTCTCCTTTTATCTGTTGTAAGTTGAAAATGATGCAGGCTACACTCCAAGAAAACTTCCTATATCAGATTAGAGTTGTGACCCAAGTAAGGGCATTATTTCCCACATGTATTACTGACGTTTCTTGACAGATAACATTATGGTGTGTGCTAACTGCTACACCCCAGAGAATCATGGCCCAACCAAGTTTTTAGGGGCAATATTCAAACCATAACAGATATTTTTAAAAATTTTGTTTTGGCAAGCTCTGGTGACCTAGTGGCAAGAAGCTGCACTGCAATCACAGAGGTGAGCAGTTAGACTCTACCAGATGCTCTGCTGGAGAAGGGAAAAATCTCCTCCTGTACAAGTCTGATCTGATTTGATGGTACACACACACAAAATAATAATAATTAAAAAACTAAAAAAAATTATTTTATATTGGTTTGCTTACAAAGTTCATATGCACATGATGTATTTTTTTTCCTGTTCGTTCTGTAACTAGGCTTTCTTCATATTTTATACACATTTTTAAAATTTGTGTTTTATCTTGCATACATATGAAATAAGTGTTATCTTATTTTTGATGTATAATTACTGTTTCTTATTTGTCAGGGTCACAGGTCACTTGAAATTCTATTATTTTTTGGCACTACTAGAAACCTTAACTTAGTTTGTAAATTGATCAAAAAGGCTTCAATTCTATGATCATGGTCATTGATTTTTTTTAAAACAGTGAATAATATTGGACATAATAGTGTAGGTGCTGTTATATAACTTCTCCAACTTGAAGTAATTTCTTTCTGTCATTGTTAGCTAATGGTTTGCTTGTTACTTATTATTTTTACAATTCCATTATCATTGGTATAATAATTTCTTGTTTGATTACTGATGAAACTCTTTTGCATAATTTGAACTTATGTTAGCATTTTTCCTGTAGAAATTAGACTTGAATGGTTTAGAGTAACAATCTAAGGAGAGAATAGTTGATACTTGAGAGTAAAATTGATGACTTCACTTATTTATAGGCTTTGTAATGTAATTTCTAATAAGGGTAACAGAATAAGAGAAAACAGAAATGTTATTAGATGGAGTAAAAATATATGTTCTTTTATTTTGTTATTTTATTTTATTAATTTTAATGAACATTTACAGAGATTTTGGATTTCCATTCATTCATTGTTGCACTTTTCTCCCTGTCCAGCCCTTTCCCCTGCAGTTTGCATCTCTCTTTGAAAAGTAAAAGAAAAATTCTTTGTTTGGTATACAATCCACCACCACCACTCCCACCGCCCCGAGTACACTCCACTATGGAACCTTAATTCTGGACTCTTGTGATAACCATAATACCCTATCATATATCACTTTTAAAGTTATTTTAAATAAAATGTTTACAGATATTTTTCTTTTTTGTTGGGTTTTTTAGATGAGAATAAATGTTTTGATTTAAATTTAATAATTAACTGCTAACTATAGGAACATAATGAATTACATGGGGGTTTTTTTTTGTTGTCATTACAGGTTTCTGAAAGCAGCAGTGAAATGTGAAGAAGCTATATTTCTAACGTGAACTTGAATGTTAGCAACTGCTTACCTAATTTTTATGAAAATTAAATATGACTTAGAAGCCTTAATTTATGAAGGTTTATGATGTCATCAACTGGCGCGGAAAACAAACTCCAGCAGGCTGTGAGCCTGCAGGGAGTTGACCCAGAAACATGCATGATTGTATTTAAAAACCACTGGGCTCAGGTAAGGTTTCAGTTCTGTCCTCCTGTCCTCTCTTCTGGTCTCAGTAGCACTGGGACCTTCATCACAGTGACCCAAGGTTTCCTACCTCAGTGACAGGTAACTAGCTATCCAAAGTCGCAGAAGGGAAAACACCTTCTGGTGGGGAAAGAAGCAGTTTTCTCTTCTCCATTTCCTAGAATAGGTATCTAGACTATGGGTACAAGGAAGTCCCATTGCTTTCACATAAACAGAGGATATACATATCCACCACCAGCACCTATGTTAGCAGCAGTCAAATAATCAAAAGATAAGCTGCAGTGGAAAAATGTACTTGCTGTCAAGGACTTCTGTAAAGGGCTAATGTATAAGGATGGCAGCTTAAAAACTAAGGTGTACCTGATGCAAGCCATGGTATTTTCATTTGCTTCCACTGCATCTGAAATTTGGAATATAAATAAGGAAGACTGAAAAAAAAACCACAACACAACCCTCACAAAACAATACCTTTGAATTGTGATGTTGGAGAAGAATATTGAAATTCCTACAGACTACCAAAACAACAAGAAAATGTGTCTTGTGGCAGTGTAACCAGAGTGCTGCTCCTTAGAGGCAAGGATTGTGAAACTTCGCCTCACATACTTCGAGCATGTTGTCCTTGCAAAAGAACATCATGCTGAGAAGAACAGAGGGTTAGTGAAAGAGATGAAGACTCTCAGCTAGTTGTATTGACACAGCGACTACAATGAATTTGAGGATGATACAAATCGTAAGGATGGTGCACAATGGGGCAAGGTTCAGATCTGTTGTTCCTAAGGTCACTGAGAATTGTAATTGGCCCAATGGCACTTAACAACAACAACAACAATAACAATAACAGATACACTTAAAAGAACAGTTAGTTATTGGCCTTAACATGACCTTTCTATCACTGTGTGATATATTTTACCATAACCATGTCGTCTCACTTTTCTCTTCACTGCTGAGTTCCATGCTAGCTATTAGACTCCAGTATACTAAAATAAACATAAAGCGTTTTATCAAGTACTGTGCTGAATACTTCAAATGCCTTATATAATTTCATCTTCTCTATAGACCCTTAAGGTAGTCAGTATTAGCATAATAATTTTACAGATGAGAGGATAGAACATTACAGAGGTTAAATAATTTACTTTAGGTTATACAGCTAGTGAGTTGTCAAGTCACTTCTTAAACCTTGCTCCCTGGACCACAAACCCATTCATACTCTGTGTTCTACCATTTTTTACTTTGTACTCCCAGTATGATTTTAAAGAATGAAGAGGACTACTTCTATCTGAATATGTTTTCTCCATATAAAGATAGAAATATTTTTTGTTTGTATTTTTATTTCTTTATGTGACTGCTTGTGTAGCTAATTAAAGGTTGAGTGTTTGGACAATTTTACCAGGCCATCCCTTTCTTTAGAGAGTTTACAAGTAGTAAAATAAATAAAATTGGTGTTCTTTATTCCTTATCAACTGTTGCACTCCCCAGATGAGCTGGTAAGTGGCTGTTTTATGTGACAGGTTTTTTTGATGAGTACGTACTTCCTTTTGTGGCCGGTAACAGCACATAGAGTAATCACAGCAATCCATTTAGATCAAAATCAGTTTTGTTCCTGGGATTTATACTTTGTAACTTCTTTTTATTATCCAACATAAAACTTCCAAGATTTTTGGTGTGTGCAATTCCCCTTCTCTATATTTTCTGTTATATTCTAATTAGTTTGTCCCGGACACACAAGGTGCATCTGATTTAGCTGGAAAGTTATTAAGTTTTCCAGGTAACTGAAGTAATTACCCTTAGTTTTGTATTGTTTATGTATTTTTGTAAGTATTTTAAAGCAGTGGTCACAGAGTGGGGTAGTGATCTCCAAAGGAGTGTCCAGTAGTCCACTGGATGTGGAAAGAATATTTTATCAAGGAATGAGACCATGAGTGTGATAGGGATGAACACTGTTTTCTTGTTTGTTTGTTTTGGTGTTTGATACATTAATATTTTGCTGTAAAGTATTCAAGCTGTAGTTGGATGTTGAATGAAGAACAGTTGCAGAGGATTGGAAAAATGAACTAAAACCTGGCATAAATTCCTATGACTACTATGTCTGCAGCCTCTGGGTACCCCCGGGGCATCCCAGGAAAATCTGTAAGCCTGCTAAAATATGTGGTGTCGATAAAAATGGGTGACAACATTTTCTTTAGTGAGCTGATCCATTAGTTGCCCAGTATATTAAATTAGATGGTCACCTTTTAACACATGAAATGATGTTTTTTTAAAATTAAATTAGAAAAAATGAAGGCAAGCAAGTCTGTATCTGGAGTTTATCTCAATGAGGATATTAATGTACACACTGAGCATAATTAACGTATATTTGATTGATTGTCTTCCACTGTTTTTGGTTGCTTCCATGCCAGAGCTTGTAGTGTCTAGGTGGCTGAGCATGTAAGTGCTAGACTACAGGAAAGGTTGATGGCTTGTATTGACTCAAGAGACTCCTTGAAGTATCTGATGTGCTTTCAGAAGGTCTTTTTAGGGAGCTCTGGTAGCCTAGTGGCAAGAAACTGTGGTGCAATCTCGAAGGCAGGTGGTTCAAATCCACCAGATGCTTCACTGGAGAAGGAGGGCAATCTCCTCCTGTGCCAGTCAGATATGACTTGACAGTACACAAGAAGGAAAGAAGAAGAAGAAAAAAAAGCAAGATAAAAAGATAATAGCCTTGAAAACCAACCCTACAGGACAGATTTACTCTGTAGACCTGTGATCAGAATCAATTTCATGGCATCCAGCAACACCAGCAACATTCCAAAGTTTGAATAAAATAAAAGCAGACTTTGGTGGAAGAAGGCATGTGCTATATCCACCTGCACTTTGGTGCTAGTAGCTGGTTCTGTAACTGAGTGTCATCCAAAGTGTTATTAAAATCGTATATCAGTTTGGTTTTCCCATACTACATACTCTTCAAGATTAGAGACTATTTGTAATTTATTATGTCCCCCTTGCCCATAAGAGAGCATGCCATATTGTAGGTGCTTAATGTGCTATTGAACTGAAGAGCAGAAACTGTTAAATAAACTTTGGTAGAGGTAAGCAACTTAGAAAAGAAAAAGTTTCGAACATAAACGAATTTATAACACATAGTATAATTTGCCACCAGTAAGAACTTTGGACTCGCATGTAATGATCTGGAGAAGAGTGTGTGTGTGTGTGTGTGTGTGTGTGTGTGTGTGTGTGCGTGTCCGCTTGATTTTTACATTTCTCTGTAAGAACAGTTTACAGCCTAACAGACTTACTTTTACCTTTTGCCTTTGCTGCTTTGTTTTCTGAGTGGAAGAGTGAGTAAGAATGGTAAGAAACATTGATCCACCAGATAATAAACTGTTCACCTAACCTGCCAAGTGAATTAAACACCCTACATAGTTATTCCTAATGGCACAGTTGTACTTTGTGAAGCTTCATGGACTTTGCTCTGTTCATTCTTTAACCTCTCCTTTCAAGCATTGAATCAGTATTATACTAAATGTTGTCTCTTCTTAGGCAGGAAAAGAGAGGTGGTAGGTTAAAAAAAATCAATTGGAAATGCACTTTCCTGTCCTTACATGTAGTTTTAGTTAATAGCCCACAACATCTTTCTCCCAGCCTCAGCCTCCAAAAATAAGTACTTACATAATTTTTGGCTCAGAAAACATCAGTGCTCAGATAATTGTGCTACGTGAGTGGATTTAGTAACTGTTTCCATGTAACCCCAGTTATTTAAGGGGGAAAATGAATTATCTAGATAAATTAAGTCACCAGAGCTCTGTCTATACCATCCTACAATAATGAAAAATGGAGAAGGTTTGTTAGGATATTTGTACAATAATAAAATACAGTAATAAAAATGAGTAATGTCTGAATATCTTATTTACAGCTCTGAGTAGGCTGAATCTGGTAAAGAATTACAAGATCAAAACTGTTGCTGTGGAGTTGATTCTGACTCATAATGACAAGGTAGAACAGAGTACAATTGCTCCATAGAATTTCCAATTTCCTGTAAAGTTTTATGGAAGCACACTGCCACATCTTTCTCCCTTGGACTGGATGGTGGATTTGAACTCATGACCTTTCAGTTAGTGACCAAGCACTTAACTGCCATTCTGTCAAGGTTTTTAAAGTATTACTTCTCCTTGCCATTGAGTCAGAGCTGTCTCATTGCTGACTCTCTAGGGAGTAAATTGCGTGGGAGGAGTGTCCATCTTTCTCCCTTGAAGCCACTGGTGGACTCACATTCCTAGAGCAGCACAGCCTTTGGTGAGTGGAACTCCTTATGGACTGCTCATTGGATCTCCCTTGTTAGAGTGGGTTGCTGTTGTTATGTGCCATTGAGTTGGAACCAACTCCTAAGTGAGCCTACAGCTAGTTTCAGAGGCAGTAAATTGCATGGGAGGAAGATTACCCATTTTTTCTTCTTCAGAATAGCTGGTGAATTTGAACCACGAGCCTTTGGGTTGGTAGCACAACTCCTTACCACTAAACCATCAGAACTCCCAACTAGGCCACTAAAATTCCCTTATTATAGAATATATAAATATGGATTTGAGACGTATACTTAAGTCTATTTCCAGTGAATCTCATTTTCTTGCTTTGTTTACCTTTACTTTTATAAAGTCTTTGTCTTGCCATAGCTCAGACTTGAAATAAAGCAAACTTTTGAGAAATGACAAGTATAATTCTGGTTAATTTTCTGAGGAAATCCATGTTTGTTGGTATTTTAAAATGTGTACAGTCTTCCCACTTTTATAAGTTGCCTTAAACTTGAAATAGAAAGTAATGCAGAGTGAAAGTTATTTTCTGAAGATAGAAAGCTAAGGCACTAATTTCTTATACTTCTGTGAGATGCTTGAGTGGGTTTGCATGTAGACAGAAAATCTCTTGTGATACAAGAGAAATTCTTAGATGTTTCAGTATAAATGCTTAGACAAGAAATTTAAGTAGATTCTTTCAGGGTGTGGGTACCCATTACCCTCTTGTAAAAGCAGGTCATGGGTGTGTCTGCCTGGGAAGGAAAGGGTGGTGGCCTGGGAAGATCCTGGCACCTAAGAAGAGAGATTAAAGACCTGTGACAACACATGGCTAATCAGCACTTTGCTGATCACTGTGTGCTCCATGACTCACAGGCATGGTTTAATACACCCATGTTCCAGGCAGTAAAATCACCAGGCCAGGACTGGGAATGAATAAAGCGCTCTTAATATATCGGCTCCATTCCAAATAATCAGGAAACCCTATATCTCTGTGGGTTATTTTAGCACCATTTTTTTGGGTTTTTTTCCTACCCATTAACCCAGAAAATAGCATTAAAAAAACTACTTTAGGTAGAATAAAGATGCCTCAGTTAAGTAAGCAACTAAGCAGTTTGCATTCTTTGTAAAGGATCAACTATAGGTCTGTTCCAGCTTGATGGTACACAACAACAGCATAGTAAAAAATGGTCTCTGTGTTTCAGAGTTCACTAAGATTAATGATATCAATGAAGATTAACCCATGAGAAAAATATTATTGGTGATTATGTTAGTTTCACAACATACTACATAGATAGACAGGTGATAGATAGACACAGACATACCTTGTTTGCGCTCTGCTTTATTGTGCTTCGCAGATACTGCATCTTTTACAGGTTGAAGGTTTAGGTTGAGCACCCCTATGTTGAGCAAGTCTCATGGCACCATTTTTGCCAAGTAGCACGTGCTCACTTCTTACTTCTGGGTAACTTTTTAGTAATTCTTACAATATGAAAAGTTCAAACTTTTCATAATGTGATTTCACACTTAATAGATCACAGTATACCATAAACATTAATTCTTACTTGGACAGAGAAAAAAATTCATGTGACATACTTTTTGTAATACATGCTGTTTGTAATTTTTTTGGAGGTATAAAACTAAATCCACATTATCTCCAATGTATGCCTCTACATGAAATATGTAATAATGATTCATAGGGAGCTCTGGTGGCCTAGTGGTAAGAAACTACTCTGTAATTCCAAAGGCATGCGATTCAAATCCACCAGCCACTTCTCAGGAAAAGGATAGGCAATTTATTAATCTGCAAATAACTGCCTTTGAAAACGCACTGGAGATTTCAGCTATGAGTTGGTTCTGACTTGATGGTACTCAAAACAACAACGTATATAGACATCCATGTGAATACATAGTGTTTTTAAATATTTATGTATAGCAATGTCAGAGAATTAGATTTCTAGTATTCTTTTCTAGTATTATATTTATTTATTGATTGATTGATTCATTCATTCTTTGTATGTGTGTACTATCAAATTGGATCTGACTGGTACAGGAGGCAATCATTCCTCCTTCTTCAGCAGAGCATCTGGTGGATTTGAACCGTGCACCTCTGGGATTGCAGTGCAGTTTCCTACCACTAGGCCACCAGAGCTCGCCTCTAGTATTATTTTTAATTCAATGTCCTATTCCTTTTTAAAGACATTAGTACAAAGTTACTTTAGCTCCTTTCATTTTTATTCACTTATATTTTGAAATGAAGATAAATTTATATGAATATGAAAGGAGTAGTAATTAATCTTCACTTATTATTTATATCTCTCCAAAGTCTTTTCTAATCATGCCTTCATTTGTCAATAAATTATTTTCTTTAAACTTAAATTATTTCATATATATACACATACATATATATATTTATGTATAATGATATGATTTACTTAGTGAATAATTTTAATAATTTTGTTGTATGACAAGGTAATATTTTAATTCTCTGATTCTTGAACAACAATAGGATTTTTCTTTTTCATTATTTAAAGATATTATTGGTATGAATATTTTTTAAAAACAAATTATATTTTGACTGTTTCTTTGCAGCATTTTCCCCAATGTGAGATTAATAAGTCAAAGTACAGGAACAATTTTTGTTATGTATTTCCAGATTGCTTTCCAGAAAGACTGAGCTAGTTTACTGTGTCTCTGTCATTGAATAAGGCCCAGGCACAGTTTGGGTCAGTTTACACAGTATAAGTACACATGAGAAATATATTTTTACCCTGAGGCCCAGCTATAAAGAAATCTCTCATAAGTAAACTCAATATGTGGACTTTGAAATTATAGAACTGATAAATCCTTTAGCTGATTTATTTCTCAGAATGTTGAGCCTTGAAGTTAGAGATGTATCTGGTTAGAGAACATGCTGTGTTGTGGTAGGGCCTCTTTTGGGCAAATGTGGTACTCTGATCCTGGTCTAAGAGATATTGCCAAGAATCAGAGCAAAGGGAAGGGAGGCAGGCCAAATTCCAGTGTCTGCCACTGAAATTGCCAGGCCTAAGAGGAATTTTTAAGCCTTGTTAGAGGGTTGAAGGTATGGGAAAGGGACACTATGAAGCTGGGCTTGTAACACCGCAGCCCTAGCCTTGTACATCTTCAGTAGATGCTAACCAAAGGCCTTCCTCATTAAAAATGCCAATTCAAAAGTTTTCTTTGTGGTGACGTTATCAATTTGATAATGGAAGTCAGTAGAGATTGTAAGTATTGTAAAGTGTACCTGTCTGGTCTGTAAGGGTTTCTTTGCCCTCCTGATGGGAGAAATAAAGTCCTATTCCTGAGAAATAAATTTCTCTGATTGCTCATGCGTGCTGACATGGCACTGTACATTTGCCAGCTTCCCCAGTGACTTGCAAAAATTGTATAGCCTAAATATAGAACATGTAACAGCACATCATAAAACTAGGTTAGGAAGAGTAGTGGAAAAACAAATGTATCCCACATAGCATGCAGTTCAGGAAAGCAAAGGAGAACAAAGATAAAGTCATTGATAAGATGACAATTTAAAACACATTTTTCTAGAGATTCCTTTGAATAGGTGTTATGGTGAATATTCCAATTCACAAATAAAAGTTAAGATATAAAATTGTCTTAATTTCTAGGTCTCAGAGTAGAAGTGTAGAATTCTACGTAAAGGGAGCATTCAAATGCCAGCAGTCTTAAGAGAGTAAAGTAGAACAGAATTCTGGCATGACCTACTTAGGGATTTATTTTGTGAGTAGTTTTCTTAGATTTTCCCCTGCCTTTGAAAGAAGTTCAAACTCTTTATTAGTTTCAATATGTGTTATGTGCTAGAGCTAATTCTGTTCAGTATTTGTCCCTTATCCATTAGTGTTCTTTCAAACTTCCTAATGCTGTTTGTGTGAAGAAAGTTCCCATCCAAACATAAGAGGCAGGAATATTGTTCTGTCAAGGGCTTATGAATAGCATTTCCCATTTATTGAAATCTCCAAATAAACTCACAAGTTCTATTTGTAGGAGGATGTAAGAGCAGTCGGGTTTCCCTTTGTTTATTCAATTAATTTAAAATTTTAAAAGCAATATTGTTGAGATTTTAGGACAAAATTAAAAAGTTTTTATCCTCTTGAGCACAAACATTGTTCTTTTTTATACTTCTTTTCAGTTCTTCTCATGCATATTTATAGCTCTGCATATCTACAAACAATTTAGTTTTTTAGCTGATTTATTATTTATAGTTTTTCATGTTGTTAAATATTCTTCAAATAATATGTTAGTGGCTTAATGAATATAGTCATACTAATTTCTTTGATTTTTAAATTGTTAAAATTTATAAAAAATTACAAATGAACTTTAAGCATCTTTCTATACTTTACCTCATTCATTTTCTGTGAAAAAGCAAGGTACATGTATTTTGTTGTAGGTCATGGCTCATTAATTTTGGAAGAAGACTTGGTAAAGTAAGTGTGGTATTTTTGTAATTATGATAAATATCAGATGGATGACATATGTTTGATTTGGTTACAGGTTGTGAAAATCTTAGAGAAGCATGATCCTTTGAAGAACACACAGGCAAAATACGGATCTATCCCTCCAGACGAGGCCAGTGCTGTGCAGAATTATGTAGAACACATGCTCTTCTTGCTTATTGAAGAGCAAGCCAAGGATGCTGCAATGGGACCAATTTTGGAATTTGTAGTCTGTGAGAACATCATGGAAAAACTCTTCCTTTGGAGCTTGAGACGAGAATTTACTGATGAAACGAAAATTGAACAGCTAAAGATGTATGAGATGTTGGTCACCCAGTCCCACCAGCCTCTTCTTCACCATAAACCCATTCTGAAGCCCCTGATGATGTTGCTGAGCTCCTGCTCAGGAACCACCACCCCTGCTGTGGAAGGGAAGCTGGTTGTCCTGCTCAATCAACTCTGTTCCATCCTTGCCAAAGATCCATCCATTCTGGAACTCTTCTTCCACACCAGTGAGGACCAAGGGGCTGCCAACTTCCTCATCTTCTCCCTTCTGATTCCCTTCATTCATCGGGAAGGGGCAGTAGGCCAGCAGGCACGGGACGCTCTGCTTTTCATCATGTCTCTCTCTGCCGAGAACAGCATGGTTGCCCATCACATTGTGGAGAACACCTACTTCTGCCCAGTAAGTTTCACTCATTGGCATGCTTTTAGCTTATTTCCTTTTTTGGTCTTTTCCTCCTGCGCTAATGCTAAATACTTTTTCACTCCTTTGCTTTCAGCAAGGTGTACTTGGCACCTTTCATGGAAAAATGTTTATAAGAAATCTTTTTGAGGGAGGAGAGACATCTAAGTTGAGATGCTATTTGGCTGAGCAGTGCTGGCTTGAAATAAGCCAACAGAGGAAGCCATCTGTACTATAATTTATTGGTTCGTTTTTGTTGTATTTGAATGATTTTAGTTTTTTCTTAGACCATATCCTGAAAGATTGATAAGACATAATTTCTGTATTCTTAGCTTTTCAGGGTGATTTTATACCATCAAATTATGACATGTCGTAAAACCTTTCATAGCTTTCATGGGTTTTGTTTGTTTTATTGTTTCTCAAGCATTGATTTTTTTTAAGGAAATGCTTATTATAAATTTGAGGCAATAAGAAATGCCCTACTCTGTGTTGTGTCTTAATCCTTGATATAATGAGAAATGAAATGCAAGACTTTCTGTAAATACAAGAATGTCTCAGACCAGTTACAGCTCAAGAAAATAATTGGAATAATCTGAAGCTCTTAAAATAGTAGAGCTCTGATGTCTGTGGATGTGTGAGTGAGTGTGTGTGTGTGTGTGTGTGTACATGTGCACATTGTTTTTGGAGGGGTATTCAAATAACAGGTTTATAGATTCATGTCTTCCAGTTTATTATATAAATGTGTCAATAGCTGTTTATACTTTTCCAGTCCAATGTACAAACCAATATCTTATTTTCTTGGTCTATTCTAACAATTAACTTATTATATTTTTTTGGTAAACTTTATAGCCTTATTAACTACGTATGATTGTGCTGGAATAGTATGTATGAGCATTAAATGGATTTTGTGGAAAAGAACAGGCAAATTTCCGTAGGTAGATTAGATTCATTGCTAATTTACACATTTATAAATCCATGTCAAATGTGTTTGATTGTCACAGGAGCATGTGGTTGTGGTGTTGGGGATATTATTGTGTAGGGGCCAGGGTGCCCCTAATGTCTAGTAGTTTGTTGGATGGTCCTGTAAATCAAAGAATTGATCCACCAAAAATACTAATAGTAAGCCTGAATTGAATAATTGAATACTGCATTTTACTTTAAGGTTCAATAGCAGAAAGGTGGCAGCAGTCAAAGTATCAGAAGATGTGTTGCGCTGAGCACATCTCCTGTCCGTGACCTCTTTAAAGTGTTAAAAAAGCAAAGATGTCTGTTTAAAGACCAAAGTGTTCCTGTTCCTATTGATTTCAGTAGCTTACTGTGCATCTGAAAATTGGACAATGAATAAGGAAGATTAAAGAATTGACCCAAGCCATGGTACTTTTCAGTTGCTTTGTAAATATTTGAAAGTTGGGCAGGGTCTAAGGAAGATCCAAAAAGAATCAATGGCTTGGCATTTTGGTGTTAGAAACAAGGACCGACTGTACTATGGACTGCCAAAACTCCAAACAAATCTATCTTGGAAGATGTACAGCCAGGTGCCTGTTGGAGGCAAGAATGATAAAATTTCATCTTAAGCACTCTGGACATTTTCAGAAAAGAACAGGCTTAATATGATGGCACAGATGAATAAAGTTCTGGACTTCTCATTCAACAAGAAATCTTCATTCAACAAGAAATCTTCATTCAATCCCCTTGTTCCATTGTCCTTGTCCTTTTTTTAAAGAAAAAGCCATCAACCTGGGAAGAGTAGAGAAATAATGAAAGAGAGGAAGACCTTCAGTGAGAGGGTTTGTTTGACACAGTGATTGCTACATCAAGGATATCGTGAGGATGGTGCATGATGGGGCAAAGTTTCAATCTGTTGTTTATAGGATCGCTGTGAGTTGTAGTTGATTGATGGCACTTAACAGCTACTAAACTATGACTCCTTTTACTGATAAAATTAATTCACCTATTGTCTTGTGAATATTTCTTTCAGAGCAAATAGATTAGTAAAATTTTTTAAAAATATTATTTTCATTAATAACTGTAGAATGCCTTGTATCTTTTCTCTTCACTGGTTTCTAACAAAAAAACAAGGAGATTGAACAAAGATTTCTATTTGAATGAGAAGTGTAGAACTTTACTCATCTGTGCCAACATAGTAAGTCTGTTCTTCTTGAACAGTTCAAAAGCTTTTTTTTAAAAAGAAAATTAAATTTTATTATGTGTGTGTGTGTGTGTGTGTGTGTGTGTGTGTACCGTCAAACCGTATCTGCCTGGTACAGGAGAGGATTGCCCCTCCTTCTCCAGCAGAGCATCTGTTGGATTTGAACTGTGTGCCTTTGGGATTGCAGTGCAGCTTCTTGTCACTAGGCCACCAGAGCTCCCTTAGTTCAAAAGCTTTTTTAAAAAAACTCTTTCTAATGAATATTATTTAAGCAAAAATGAACCTCTCACCCTAAATCTAAGCATCTTTACTGCCTTTATTTCCTATTGGAGCTCTGACAGGGAACGCTGATGGTTTGACTATAGAAAGTTGCACCACTAACCCAAAGGCCATGCTGGCTGATGACTGGAATCCACCAGCAGCTCCAGAGGACAAAGAAGATTGAGGTTTTCTGGTGTAATTTATAGTCTCGAAAACCCAGAGGAAAGCCAGCTATGGGCTAGTTCTAATTCAATAGCAGTAAGTTTGTTTTATTTTCATCTTACAGTTTCATAGTTTGGAAGTCCAGCAGGTTTCATTGAGCTAAAATAAAGGCTATCAGCCACGCAGTGCTCTTTGCTGGAGACTTGAGGGCTATGATAATAGCTTTGTGGATGAGAACCTGTATAAAGCCCGTTCCTGGAATGTGAAGATTAGTCCTCTCTATATTCCCACTTTTTCATCATTTCTAGCACAGCCCCTCTCCCCCTTCCCATGCAGCACTGCCTCTCTCCCTATGTCTCTAGCTTTCTAGGGCTAGATCACACATTAACATTTAAGATGCCACTATCTTTGGGTTCATTAATTAACTACGACAACTCACAGATTATCACAGGTGATATTATCACTACTGGTTTTATTAAAGTAAAAAATGCTTAAAAGTAAAAGGATTTAGAGTCTAAATTGTGATCAATATTAGGACTCAGTACAAACACACGGTCCGGGAAGGATACCAAGGCTGAGCTGCCATGCCAGAAGGAACATGATCCTTTCAGTCATCAACCTGGACACTTTCCGAGACTTAGTGTTGCAGGCTTCTATAGGTTAGTCCTACACGATAAGTTAACTTGTGCTTCTTGAGATTGATGTTGGCCTTCCAGGTTAGCCCTTTCTGACTAGGTCCCACTTCACAGCAGAATCTTTGGATTCTGGTAGTCTTAGACCAAGTTGTCTCGGTTACTCCAAAGGTTATGTCTCCAGATTCAAGGACAAAGACTATATAAGGTTAAGTGCAGAACTAGACTTATTAATCTTACAAAAGGAGATTTTATTGCTTCCTTATCCAAAAGAAGAAAGCTGGGACCATACTTCATACTATGTGTGAGAGTTAACTCAAAATTGGTCAGTATGAATACTAAAACCACAAAACATCAGATTAATGCTTTCTGACCTAGTTTGTAACAAATAATTTCAGATATGACACCAAAGCACAAGTAGTAAAAGAGAAAATAGTAATCACCAAAATTTAGAATGTTCGCATATCAAAGGCTTTATCAATAAAGTCAGGAAAGGAACTAAAAACTGGAAGAAGTTTACTGGGATCCATACATCCATCTGTTAAGGATTTGATATCCAGAATACATAAAGAATGCCTGAAACTAATTTTTTAAAGGAAACAAGCCGGTAAAAATGAGCAAAGGACATGAGTAGCCATTTTAGAAAGAGAAGATATAGAATTATTAAAAGTATGTAAAAAATGCCCAATATTATTAGCCATAGTTATTGTTAGGTGCTGTTGAATTGGTTCTGACTCATAGTGACCATATATACAAAACAAAACATTTCATGCTCTTCTGCCATCCTCAAAACCACTACCGTGTTTAAGCCATTTGTTGTAGCCGCTGTGTGAGTCAGACTTGTTGAGGGTTGGTCTCTTTCTTGTTTTGCTCAGCCTCTACCAAGCATAAAGTCCTACGCCAAGGATTGGTCCTTCTTGATAACATGTCAAAAAAAAGTGAGATGAAGTCTTGCCACCCTCACTTCTACGGAGCATTTTTACTGTACTTCTTTGAAGGAGTTCTTTCCTCTTCCTATGGTCCATGGCGTATTTAATATTCTTCACCAGCAGATGCATCAATTCTTCTTGTCTTCTACTCATTGTACAGCTTTTATGTGCACATAAGACAATTACAAATAGCATGTCTTGGGTCAGATGCACCATAGTTCTTAAAGCAACACTTTGAATTTTAACATTTTAAAGAAGTATTTTATAGCAGATTTGCCTAGTGCCAAGTAATTTTGATTTTTTTTTTAAATTGCTTCTTTCATGAGAGTTAATTGTGGATCCAAGTAAAACAAAAATCCTTGACTACTTCAGTGTGTTTTATGTTTATCCTGATAGGCCTAATGCCATACTCTTCATGTAGTTCAACATCTGAGATCATTTGCTTGTAATACAGATTAAATAACTATAGGGGAAAGATACAATCCTATATATCCCTTTTTCTATTTTAAATCACGCAATATCCCCTTGTTCTGTTCACATGACTGCTTCTTGGTCTATGTAGTTTCTATATGAGTGGAATTAAGTCTTCTGAAATTACCATTTTATCAGTGTTACACGTAATTTGTATGATCTACACATTTGAATGCCTTTAAGTAGTTGATAAAATACAGATATAAACATTTTTCTGGTGTTCTCTGCTTTCAGTCAAGATTCATCTGATATTCTGTTTTCAGTCAAGATCCAATCCAGCAATGGCATCCATCATTCTACATAATCATCTGAAATCATCTTGAATTTCTGGAACTTTCCTATTGATGTATTGTTGCAACAGTATTTTTAATTCCCTTCAGCCAATTATTTTTGCAT